TTGCTCCAGGGGTGGCCATGTCTGCAGCAGGCCAGGTGCACGGGGGGGGTGCTGGCTATGCCGTCCACGCTGCCTGGCCTTACCCCCATCAGCAGTAGGACTACGTTGCCCTGGAAGGATGCCCTTTTGTTTTGTTTTGCTGCAGGGTGCATGTACTCTCTGGAGAGAGAGAGCAAGAGAGAGAGAGAAAGCACCACCCCCTCAGGAGAGATGGCCACACTGCAATTCATTTTCCTCCATTTTTTTTCTTGGTATTTTGGCCACGTACATGCACCCTATGTGTTTTTCAAGCCACTGAGTCCAGGACTTGAACCACTCAGTTGGCCATGTGGGATCCAGCCATCTTAACTACCACGCCATTGGCTGACCCAGGAAGTATTCTTTGAGTCAGAGACTAGAAATTGCCTGGTTCCAGCCTCGGGGTCAGCATGGGCTGTGGAGGCAAGCAAAGCCTCCTGGGAAGGGGCCCTGCGAGTGGCCCAGGCCTTGCAGACAGGAATGATGCAGAGCAGGGGATGTCGAGTACACCGGTGGGCCTCGGGTCCCTGCTGGCCTCCAGCCCTGGGCTTGAGCCCTCAGGGTGAGAGGTCAGGCCTTGCTCTCCTGGGATGGCACAGGGGCCCCAATGCCAGCTCTGGAAGTCCTGTTTGAGGGCATTGCCTGTCCTAGCACAGAGGCCATTCCCTGCCAGTGACTGTCACCCTCTGCCCCTGGACACTCAGGCAGAGGGAGTGGGGACGAGGGAGGGTGGCCTAGCCCTGATGTGGCTGAGGGATGGCCCTGGGACACCTCCCTCCTGGCTGCAGTCCGCTGTGCACAGCACCCACCAGCTTCCCGGGGAATGTGACTGGCTGAGCTGACCCCCCACCAGGGCAGCAAGGCCACCCCAGTGCTGGACACACAGGGACAGTGGGGCTGCAATGTGCCTTTGCCCACTGCAGCACTTCCCAACATAGGCCCACTGGCTTCCCCTGGCTGTGAGATCCGGGCAGTGCCACGAGGGGGCCAGAGCCCTCCATCAGCCAGACACCGTGCCTGCCCTCACAGACCCCGAGGTCTGGTGGGAAGAACTCGGGGTGCCTGGGTTCGGATGCTCTTGTGAGCTGGTGACTGGACAGTCGGGTCGGGCTCACACCTGGTCTCCTCAGTGGAATGGGGCCTCCTTCCCAGGGCCATGGTGAGGCTTCAGCGCGAGAAGAAAGAGTAGCAGGCAGGACCCCTGTGGGGCTGGGTACCCCAGATCAGTGCACCACCTCGCTGAGCCCCAGTTTCTGAAGGAGAGCTGTCGTGGGCCGGGGCGGTCAGAGCAGCTTCGTGGACGGTGTGGAATTTTGTGGGGCTCCAGTGGCCAGGCAGGAGCTGCTTACTGGGAAAGGGGTGGTGTGGGCAGGGATGGAGCCTTGCTGGGGTACAGCAGGCTGGGAGGTGTAGGGTCATCTTATTCCCCACCCCCAAAACCCCACATGCCTGAAATGTGCTTCCTTGCCATGAGGCACAGGGGCCGGGAGCCAAGCAGTGCGGTTCAGAGCCGCCTGCCTGACCCGGCCCTGGGGTTTGTTACCCTTTGGTGTCTTCCCAGCTGGACACATGGGATCACCTGCTTCTGGGCCAGAATGAGCTGGGATTTTCTGGAGGGAAACGTCTTGCTGATAAAATCTCTGTTGACTGCTCGGGTCAGTCAGTGGCTGGGGCCACACTGCCCTCCACGGCCCTGTGGACACTCAGGGACAGACAGGAAACAGCTATTTATACAATAAAATTGGAGCCATGGAGATGACAGGGGTAATTCAGATAGCAGAGGCCTGGCCTTGCCTGAGTGTTCCAGGAGGGCTTCCTGGAAGAAGGGCCATCTCAGCTGAGGACCTGACAGGAAACGTTTGTGGGGAGAAGAGAGTATCAGACCGAGGGGAATGTGTGTGCAAAGGCCCTGCGCTAAGCCTGTAAATGGCTCGTCCAGGTCAGAGGCAAGACCAGAGCCAGGTTCCAGACTGGGAGCCAAGGGCCCTTTCTGCTGCGACCCCAGCCTGCCTGGTGGAGGGAAGGCCAGGACCGTGTGTCGGAGCCTTTCAGGGCATCGCGCCCTTAGCTCCGGACCCAGAAAAGCCTTCTCTGCTGTCATGGCAACCTCCGAGCCCCATGATGGCAGGGAGACAGGGGTCCTCTGTGTGGAGGGAAAGGAAGAGAAAGGAGAGGAGAAGCGGGAAGGGAGAGGAGAGAGAGAAGAGGGAGGAGAAGCCTGGGACCCAGCCCAGGTGGGGAGGGCTGGAGCCGCCTCCCTGTCTGGAAGGAAATGGAGACAGCTTGGTTCCCGGAGCGTCAGGAGTGGGGCATCTTCTCTGCACCCGCCTTTCACGTTCACGTGGGTGCGGGTTCCCTGGGGGGAAACGATTCCATGTGAGCAAGAAGGCTGAAGTGAGTCAGCCAGCCCCGGAGGCCGGGGTTTGGCCTCCTTTGCCCAAGTCAGGGAGCTGGCCCTCATGGTGCTAGGTCTTGCTGTAGTGGTCACACCGTAGTCACACTGATCATCACCCCATACGGCGTTACTTCTAGAAACCATAGTAAAAGAGTAATAAAGCAGTACCAGTAATGATCAGCTCGTCGTCGTTGTTGAGACAGACACACAGGGTCATAAAGCCGGCAGCTGACTTCCGGAACTGTGGTTCAGCGCCGAGCCCGCTCTCGGGGGGGTGCTGCGATTGTGCCCACAGCTGGGAGGGGTGGGGTCCAACTGGGAGCCCCTGTCGTGTGGCCTGGGTGTCGATATCTCGCCCACTGTGGTATCGAGAGCTTTGCAGAGGCTACGCTGCCTGGGCTGGCAGGTTCCAGTTCGTTTCCTGTAGCCCTCCTGACCGAGACGTGACTGCCATTTGAAGGCCTTAGAAATAAAACCCAGCCTGCAGCCATGGCTGCACCGAGATCGGGGGTGGGGGCTGTGCCTGACCGCCTGGGAGGGCTCACTCTGCAGAGCCTCCCCCTGGACTGTGCCCCCCTACCCCACGAGGCCCTGGCCCCAGGTCCTGGTGCTTCTGCCCTGAGCAGAGAGAAGAATGCCAAGCAAGGAGGCCAGCTGGGGGCGGGAGTCTTCCTGGGGTGTTGGGAGAGCCGTCTGCTCTTTCCTTCGAGAAAAGAGAGATTGGTGAGCTGGGTTAGGTGGCCTAAATATAGACCCTCAAGCGCAGCTTCGTGGATGGGCAGAGCTCACTGCGTGGGGGCGTGATATTTTTATCGCCTGTAGGAAGCCATGGCTTGAGTCCTATTGTTCGAGTACAATGGGCTCTCCTTTTCCAAGAGAGGTGTGCGTTTTCCTTGAAGAGTAGCAGGAGGGACCTGGAGAGGGGGCTGGCGAGGGGCACTCCTTCGAGGGGCTCCGAGGGCAAGATGAGGTGGAGCTAGGATTCCAGCTGCAGGGACAGACCCTGGAGCAGAAACTGGGAACCAGGAAGGTTAGGCACAACTAACCCTGTGATCACGTCGAACCAGGATTGCTTTTTTTTTTTTTTGAGAGGTTTTCGCTATAGGGCGCATGCGCTCGCCAGAGAGAGACATAGAGACAGAAAGTGAGAAAGCACCCCCCAGGTGGGGTGGCCACGCCGCAATCCCTTCTCCTCCATTCTCCTCTTGGGATCTTGGGCACGCACGCACACGTGCCCGGCGTGAGTTTTAAGCCACCGGGTCCGGGACTCGAACCGCGGTCGACTACGTGGGAGTCCAGCGACATAGCCATTACGCTAACTGCTGGTTCCCAAACCAGGATTGCTTTTTGTCAAAGGCACCAGGTATTTTTATTTTTTAAATTTTATTATTATAATTTGCTATAAGGCATGTGTACTCACAGCGAGAGAAAGAGAGAGGGGAAGTGAGATAGCAAGCTGCCAGGTCCGGGACTCAAACCAGGCAGCCATGTTGGAGTCCAACACGTTAACCAGCCCCCTCCATATTTACTGTAGAACAAATAGAACTCTCCGAGAAGTGGGGGGTACGACTTCTTCAGTTCCTGTCATCCAGGAGAAGCCTGTTCTGCCGCGGCTTCTGTAGCTCCTTTCCAGGAGTTTCCCGGTGCGTGTTAGCTCAGGGAGTGCGCTCGCCTGGACGGCCATCGCTTCAGCCTGGGTTCCCACCGAGGTCTAAGGACTCTCCTCCCCCGCATGTAGGTCAGTCCACGGAGCTGGGAGACTCTCACAGGTGCTGAGTCATCCTGGTGGACCTCATGGTGGCCGTGTGTATTGCACACGTACCACCTGCCAGGTGCCAACTGTCACCGTCCCCATCTTACAGGGGAGGAAACCAAGTCTCAAAGAAGTGAGTCATGCAGAGCTAGGGCTTTGTGGGAAGTCTGGGCGTTTCTGCAGCCCACTGGGGTCACCTGTCTGCCAGGATGCGGGTTGGACACTGGATGCCCCCAAGCCGAGGCCCTGCACCCCCACCCAGACTCAGGGAGGCCGTCTTGTCAGCTGTCCGAGCTGCCCAGGCCCTGGACTTCTGCGCTCTAGCCCTGGGTGTCCTCTCGGGTCTGGAAGCAGCCTGCTTTCCAGGCCAGTCCTCAGGGAGCCATGCTTGCCCAGGGCCAGGGCAGTGGGCATCCCTAGTCCTGGCTGGGCCCTGAGTCAGTGCCTGGCCTGGGTCCACTTCCTGGCGTCATTCCCTTCCCGGACCCTGGGTCAGCCCCGCCGAGCCCCAAGCCTCACGCTTCTCCTCTGCCAAATGGGTGCCCTGCTGCCCTGCCTGGAGACCCATGAGGACGGGGTGATGCCGGGAGGTGGCCGTGCTCGCGGTGGAGCGCCCCAGAGGAGCGCCCGCCGGCCTCACGCCCTGCCCGCCTGCCCACAGGTACCTCTGGAGGAGCGCATCATCTTCTCGGGGAACCTCTTCCAGTACCAGGAGGACAACAAGAAGTGGAGGAACCGCTTCAGCCTCGTGCCGCACAACTACGGGCTGGTGCTCTATGAGAACAAAGTGGTGAGGCCATGCCCGCCGAGCCCCCTGCCCCAGCCCTCCCTCCTCACCTCCTTCCTGGTGGGCCGCTGGCCCCGCCTGGGCCACTCCCACCCTGACCTTCAGCAGCACCCCAGGCCTGCCCGTAGTGTCCCCTCCAGACCCCTCCTGGAAGCCCGTGCCCTCCTGCGGTGGGTGCGTGTCTGAGAGGGGTGGGAGCAGATGGCGCCTTATCTCTGCTGTGGGCCCTAAGGAAGCTCCTGGGTTAGCCAGACCTGATAGCGTCCACTGGGCGTCGCTCCAGAGTAGCCACAGGACAGGCCTGTTTAAACACAGATCAGAGGGGGCTGGACTTCCACATGGCTGACCACAGCTCGAATCCTGGACCTGGTGGCTTGAAAATCATATTGGGCACATGTGCGTGTCCAAAATCCTGAGAGAATGGAGAAGCGATTGTGGGGTGGCCATCCCTTTCTGGGGTGTGAATTTCCTACTTTCCCTCTCTGTGTCTCCCTGTCTCTCTCTGGTGAGTGCACCCTATGGCAAAAGCCTAAAAAATATAAAAAGTCAAAAGAGAAGACAGAAAGCAGGGTCTGGGCCCCATTGTCCCAAAGGGACCTTGCGGTGCTCAGAACGGAGAAAGCTTCTGGGTAGTTCAGGGAAGTGGTCAAGACCCTGGGCCTGGAGGCAGGTGGGCTGGCCGTGTCCATGGCCTGCTGCTTCTCAGCCTGTGGGCGTGGGCTGAGCCCCGCTGAGGGTGAGAGCGTGCTGTGACAAATGTGCAGTGTCTCAGTCCAGGCCAGGTGCGATCTCCCCGGCTGGGGACTGCTGGCCCAGCGACAGCAGCTGCGGTGACCCGATAGCGGCCACCTTAGCAGAGCCTCCTGCGTCCCGTGCGGCCTGCTTCGGGCTGGACATTCTGTACGGACGGTCTCCTCACACAGCTCTGTAGGTAGTGGCTGCGGGCCTGGCCACACCCTTAACCCTCAGGGACCTCTTCCCTTGCCCCTCCTCAGGCCTACGAGAGGCAGGGCCCGCCCCGCGACATCATCACCAGAGACCGCGA